ATAATTTTGTAGAGAATTGAATGGCGCGTCTTTTAGATAAAGGTTGAAGCCTGGGCAATGAAAATTGAGGGAGATATTCACGAAATACTGACACCGCCATTCTTTATGGGCCACCCGTTAGATCTTATGATTCAAAAACTAGAAAATGAAGATGTAAGTTGATTTCTCATATGAAATATCTGTTTTTAAGGAAAAAAAACAAGTAAAAAGAATGACCAATTTACTTACAGTATGTAGACAAAGATCTTTTATAATTACTAATTAAGATTTTTTCCATTCATTTGCTTCTATAGATTGATTCAATATCACTGATTTCCATATTAGGTTTTAGTTGCTTTTATTTAAGTCAAAAAAAAAATTGATATAATTCCATTGATTTTAAAATTAAAACAGTAAAAGTTTTCCCAAACTGTTAATAACAATAAAGTCATCTTCATTAGAATTTCATCATACATTCATTTCATGTATGCATAGTACATTGATAGAAGCTCATGTTGATCCTATACTATGATTAATATTCATATTATTTATGTTTTTTTACCACCGTCCCTTTGTGTTCTTGTTGATTATGATTTTTTTTTCTTATTTTTGTCTTTCTCTTTTCTATTTGTACTGCTAGGATCTATCAATGATCGCAAATAAACTAAATTTTAAAATAAGATTGTTATTACTCGCTGAAAGATTTTTTTATAGAAATTTTCTAATATTGAATTTACTGAAGAATTTAATCGATTTTAATTTTAATTTCTTTTCTCTGACTAATATTAATTAAATTATGCAAAAAAAAAAACAACAGAAGCCATTAGTGATATAAAATCGTCGTTTATTTATTATATATCTGAATTATAATAATATTCTTTAACATTTATATCGAATAAAACTAAAGAAATAGAAGAGAATCGTCAATTAAACAGACATAGTAAAAACAAAAAGTTGGAATTCTAACCGTTGAATGAAGCCAAAATTAACAATGATTATTTCATATTTTCTTGTTAAGCTGTTGAAATGATAAAGAAAATGAATATTATATTAAATGGTTATTGAAAAGAATTTTATCTGCTTATGTTTAAAATATATTGTTGAACTTTAAATCAATCAGAAGTATAAAAAAAATTATATTTTAGGAAAGTTTTTCGTGATACTGTATCGTAATTGATAGCTTTGCTTAATGAGAAAGAAGTTAGAAAAAGAAGATTTTCCAGATCAGGATATTGCCATTGTGCCGATATTGATGTCACACTTCAGTGATCTTCTTTTCATCTTTCCTCTTTCTCTATTGTTCTTTCTGTGTTCATCTCTCTCTCTCTTCTATATCAGCGTGTGTAATATGTGAAGTAGCTGAATAAATATCATTGCCGAGGGTGGTGGCTAGCTACTCATCCAGCTTGTCGTTACAATATTATATTTTACAACTTGATAAAGGACTTGACTCTGTATTGAACCTGAAAAGTGATTTTCTAGGAGTATTTGAGAGTTTATCCATTAATGCAAAAAAAAACCAATTCATAGAATAGAATTGTATAATCATAAGTATTCTTGATATTCGTTCGTATTATTCGTTATGGTGTGGCAGCAATAGATGAATAAAACATCTTCCGGCCGTCAATCTCTATTGGTTGTCATCAATTTATCTATGGATCTTCTTTCTTTTTTTCCTCTTCCGGAATTTTTTTTTCTTTATCCTATGTTTTACGCTTTTTATTCTGTATTTATGTGATCCGCAAAACATGCAAATTAAAAGCAATTTTATTTATGGCACCCATATGCTGATCGCCAACAACATACGAGCAGAACGCAAGAGTTTTTTTTTTTATATGTTACAATGGCTCAAAGTTCAGAGTAATACACAATTCCATCGACAGTCTGAAACGCTGATATATTCGCGCCTCTCGTCGACTATACGATTCAACAGCATTGAAAAAGATACGAACAGCAAAGAGAAAGGGGACTTCTTTATCTTTTTTTGACAATATTTTTTTCCGAAGAAGTCAGTTATTTTCTGTTATCTATTACAACGAACACATTTTCTTTCATGCTTCATTACTAATTACACTCATATTCTACTCTTTTTCACCGCAAATAATTATTCCAACTGTTCGAACCGGTTATGTCATTTATTTTCCGACTATCTCTCGTGAAACTTCTATTGAATTCTGGTAGGTTTCATTCAGTTTCGACAGGGTCAAATTGACCTAGATTTTTTTTCCTTGAATACCTTCACATTCTCAGAATAAAGATAATTTTTATAGCTAGAACAAGAATAATCCTGCCATTCGTTTATTAGACTTCAAGTCATTCGATTTAGTGAGGACTAAAAAACTCTTGAGATTGATATTGAGACAGAGAAATGAACGCATGCAAACAGTCACAAAAACAGATGAATAATTAAAGATGAAGTAGTGATGTATTTTTCTACATCATTCATCAAAGAAAACAATCGAACGATTAAGTAGGTGTACTTTTGGCACTATCTAGTGACTTATGAATCTATCTAGCTTCTTTTTTTTACAGGAACTCTTTTCTTTCTAACTGTACAAATAGTTTCCTGTAATTTGAGCAGGCACCGAAACGATTCCTATGGGTTCTCTATTCATCTTTATTGTAATGTGGTCTTTTGGCACTTATCACGTACTATAGCAGATATTTCGAGATGTTTGACTTCGTCACAGATCATGATCACTTTGAAAGGAATTTTAACATAATATAAAAGTAGTTTCATTGTATTTCACATTTCAATTTTTTTCTGCAGTAAATACATTCGACATATTAAGAAAAAACTTCTACAACAATTACATTTTTGTCCTAGACGTGAATAAAGACTAACTAACGACATCTCGTATCGCACTTGTATTATTTTCTAAATTTGTTATTTGGAAAAAAAAAAGAAAAATGCAATCATGGTTACCTCTAAACATTCTGTAATAACTTTTATTTGAAAATAAATGGCGGAACAAAACTAAAAAAGTTGAAGCTTAAAGACAAGATTTTGAACAATTTTTATAGAAAGATTCATGAATCTTAAGTAAAATATCAGAAATTCGAAGTAGTGAGCATCGTTCGAGAGAAACCCGAAGACTTTTACTAGAAAATTCAAATTTTATTGAAAAAAAAAATGAAAGTATCTCTGGATAGAAACAGTAATCGTAAGTTGTGCTCAACATAATTATATTAAAAGGGAAAAAACTGATAAGAATGTTTTTACTAGAATTGATACATTATAGCCATTGACTTTCATAATAATCGCTACGGAGTGTTGGCGAGTATTTGTTCAATAGAATGATCAAGAACAGCATTGTAAGATGACAAGATAACAATGCTGAAATACTTTGTGTAAGCAGAACGTAATCGAGTATTTGTAGACACTTATTTAAAATCTTGTTTATAGAAAACAAACACAATCTGTAGCATATAATCAACTGAACATCGAAAAGTTATTCTTTCTCACATTCTTATGAATCTCTTTTAATCTTTCATTATTTAGGCTTTCTACATAAGTTTGTTTTGTTTTCGTCAGACTCAATAATTTGATAAGGATTCTTTCCGTTTTGTATCATTTCAATTAAACTATAAATTGTTTATCTTTACAATATTTCTATCTTATTTCGTCACGTTCACACATCAGATCTTTTACGATTACCATGTTTAATAGAAAATCTACACAAACAACATTTTGTTCAAGATTAAACGATGTATACCACAACACATCTTATTCTTATCTTGGTTCTACTGACAAGTGTCGTTCAATGTCCAGGTGGTGGTGGCGGAGGAAGAGGAAGTAGTGGTAGAAGCAATCGTGGAAGTAGCAGAAGTAAGTTACAAGTCGAGTGAGTGTCTCGAATAACGATGAGGAAAAGTAGCTTATCTTGATTGGCATAGGCCGCTGCCATTTGAACCTCATATGAAAATATTTTTAGTCCGAAAGTCGACTTTTATGCTATTTGAAAGACATTTCTTACATGATAATACGTATATAAAAATATTTTCATTTGAGATGCAAATAGCAGCTTACCAGATCAATCAAGATCAATTACTTTTTTCTCGTTCTTATTAGTGACATTCACTCTAACTGTGTCAATGTTGGTTTCGTTTTGAAAACTCATATTGCGTTCTATTGATATTTCAGGTTCAGGTAGAGGTTCAGCACTATGTTTTTCTATTGAATGTGGACCTCTTGAATTACTGTTTTCCTTATTCGTTGTAATCGTATTAATGGGTGTACTAGTATGTTTGGTTATGGCTTGCTGTTATCAATGCACAAGTGGAAAACCATCACAAGTGAATGAAGATTTTATTCGTCAAGGTTCTTTAAATTATCACGACTATGAAAAGTATCCTTTCGAGACAGGTATTTGGTCTTTTCGATATTATCAATATGACAAGTGGCATGGACCTTATCGAGTATCACTCACGTTCGATCGTTCTTTAGGCAAAGTAACTGGTCAAGGAACAGATGATGTCGGTATTTTTACAATCGATGGTATTTTTTCTTCGGAAAATTTCCGACTAGCTCTAACGCAGATATATGAAGCAGAAACAGGTGATCCAACAGAAAATCTTGGTCATACATCGACCATACAATTGACTTGGAATTCGAATAATAATCAATTTGAGGGTACATGGTATGTTCAAACATATAAGTATAGTGGAGATGGTCAGTTCGAATTGAAATTCGATGCAACTTCAATACCTTTACTCGATGCAAATAACGAATGCTAACAATAGACCTTACGATGTCATAATATTTTATTTTACAATGTCATTTAACAAAATAAAACACTTTTTTTTTACATTATTCACATAATTCAGTCAAGATTAATCTCCGAAATTATCAACATGAGAATAATGTGTGTTTAAGCGAAGATAATTTTTGAAAGTGATTTTCACATATGATAAAAGAGTTTTATCATCAGTTTTGATGATAGACCATCTATGTCAAATGCAAAATCTTCTTTCTGATATGAAATATCTCGTAACTGAAAACAAGATATTTAGATATGTCGCACTGTATAAACCAAATTCTCATTCTACACGCAATTACTATATCACCAAGGTTGTACCTATTGATTTTCAAAGCAGGGATATAATTATAATCGAGATTAATTTCAATGCTAAACTTATGAAACATACTAATCAACATGGAGGCTTTTTTGTGCTCAATTAAAAACTGTTAAAGTAGCACCTATTCGAACATTATAATAGTTGATCGATCGTTGTGGTTCGTAATCCTGATTATTTTGCTGACTTTTACGTTATATACTATGAAGATACTAAGATATCATCTTGCAGTTTCCAAACTTCTTCGTATAATTGTTAACAAATTCTTCTACAAATTATTTATTCGTGCCACAGTAGCTTACACATAGTCTACGACAATGATAAGTATTTAGGTAAAATTAGAATTCAGTAATCTTTTCGGATATGCGATCAATATAGTTTTTAGAATTTCGATTGATTCGTTGTTAGTCAAGTTCTTAATTTCAAAATCTGTTCCAAGCAAAAATTATAGTATTGGTTGTCATGATTCACGAATCAATGTAAAATAAAACTTTAGGCAGTGCAGTTTCTGAATTAAGCTAAAATTTCATACTTACTGGTATAAACATTAGGCTCATAGAGACGTTCATCTTTTTATGTAGAATCATGCTCTTTGAACAATGAATACTGTTACAACAAGTTTAAAAAGTCAAAAATACTTTGTATCTAGGTGTTTCATGCTCGTTATTATGCTAAAAATCATATCGAGATCATTAGTTGAGAATACCTCTTCTTTGGAAACATTACCCTTCTTCATTTGACAAGTACCACCACTCCAAGTTGTCTACATATAATGAGTATATTGGTGAGGTTGAACAAATTTCACATCGTAAAATTCTGATGATAGCTGCACATAAGAAAGATCATTTTCGTAGAAATCACAAGACATTGCTCAGTTACTTCCATTCCTATTGGCCACTGGGTTTAGTGTATTGAAAAAAAAAAAGATTATGATTATTATCATTTATAAAAGTAATCATATTTTGCAGTATGACTGTAGGATTTTTTTCGATGGCTTAGAATAATAGAACAAGTGATTTTATCAGGTGCTGTGTGATGAAGTTTGTGCAATAGTATAATCTCTAGTTCAGCATAGTCAGTTTCATAAAGACATGGAAACATAGATATCAAAAAACTTAGAAATGCAAATATTACACTGAAAATTAGCCATAATCATATTGTTACGTTCTTTTCTACTGTTCAAAAATCCCTGTTTATTGAGCTCGTAATCTCAAAAAAGTAATTCTTCAAGGCGGTGTGGATGGGTTCTTATCTAACTTTCTTGAAGTTTTTTATATGTTTCTAGGTTCATAGAACGTGTTCTATGAGAAGAAAAAACTCCGTAAATAAAAAGTATCTGTTAATTTAGAATAGTAGTTTTATCAGCTTTTTTTTCTGTCTCTAAAAAGAAAAGTAACACAGACAATGTTGTGGGTTTGGATGTGACCGGATCTTCGCTTCACTCACACACAAACCTCTATTTAACGTGATCTTCTTGTTAATCTTAATGATATACATGGAAGAAATCGTTTATTTTTTAGCTTATATTCATTATGAATGTATGTTACATACACTAATTCAAACTGGCTATTTTAAACAATTTTTTTTTAACTTTTATTTTCTAATTAAATATATAGATATAGATATGACTGTTGTTTGATAAAAATCAGTTAGTCTTCGTCCCAGTTCACTTTATTTTCAACGTCATGTACCATGAAGTAGATCAAAACCTGGTTTACCAAGTGTACCATTATCATCGGAAGATGAAATGGCACTTGTAGCCAATGGTGGTCTTATTTCAACAAGTTTATTTTCATTTTACTATCTATTTTCTTTATTTTATTAATTTTAGTTACTTCATCCGAAAAATCAATTCGTAAAACATCTCAAAGTATTGAAATAGCTTGCAGGGAAAAAAACATTTAAACTAACGCTTTGTACTGGAGAGAAAAAAAATGTAACATTTTATTTTAATCTCTACTTTATATGAAGAATTATTATTCTAATAGGTTGTTTCATCAGGTACGACTCAAGATTTTGCTTTTGGTAATAGTTAGTTTTTCTTTGAATTATTAATAAGCTTATTTATTTTTTTTATCTTATGATTTAAAACTAAGTTAAATTTATATCAAGAAGAAAAGTATCGTGGAATGGAATCTGAAAAACATCATCTAGATATATTTAATTAAAATGAGAAGAATAAATAATTTTTCTTGTTCTAATCTTTAACTATTTCAATTGTCTATTTAAAATATGTTTCTTCTTATGTTATTAGTTTTTATAAATGAAAAAAAATTGATTTTAAACTTCATGATAACTTAAATCGATGAAATGAACAAATTGAAGAAAATCGAAAAATAATTTATTTATTAAATGAAAAAAAATCTGACAACAAATATAGATGATGATGATGATGATGATAATCTATCTATACTTTCACATCTTGAAAATGAGATAGCATGAAATTCTCAATTTTCTTTTTGTCTCATTCTTAGACATTAATCTTTTTTTTTCTTTATTATCTTCACAATTTTTGGATGTATTTGTTATTTGATAAAATGAGGATTTTCTTTTGTTCTGTTTTTGTCCCTTGTGTAATACGCGTTCGTAAAGTGAACACAATACTGACATCATTTTAACGTAATAAAATACATTAGAGCTCGATTATCATTCTATCTACTTGGTAAACATGTAGTAGGCGATGAGTGATTTACATTAGATATAATGACAAAGAATGTATATTGAACTGAAGATTATTCTTTTTTTTACCGATTCGAAGGGGAAAAAACTACACTTTAGGAGCAATTTGTTTATTGAAAATTAGAGAAAAGATTTTATTCGTGAATAAATCCGATAGCAGAATTGTTTATCAATTGTTGTCTAATGTTGTTTGGACACAACACATACCTATTCTTGGCAATGGGTATGCTTGAAATTTCATTCGACTATCATCATCACTTTTCTCTGTCACAATTCGATCAGGGCACTAATTATACTTCTTTTACTATTGACATTAATAAATACACTCAAGTTATGAGAAACAATATTTATGTCATTCAAATGCAATATGCAGCTGTTCACAAAAATCAGCATTGCTCACAAAGATTGTTGGTGTAAATACTGTAAGACATCAATATTGGAAATGAATCGTTAGTATTGTAGTTAATGACTTTCCGGCATGTAATGAGTAAATTTTATCAAGTTCGTGGATTCTTACACCAGCAACTAATATCCATTTCAAAATATAAGAGCCGTGACCATTTTTTGAATAACTTTTGATAGGAACAAGATAGAGAGGTGCGGTTTTCGCCATTAGAAAGAGAAGACTCACGCGCATCAATACATGCTAAAATATGATTGGTTAGTAATGGACCAATCAGGTGCATTCTCGATAAACATTTTGAGCACCCTTCTCTGGAGCCATTTCTCAACTTATCTCTATTTGCTAATT